CAAAATGCTGAACAAAACAAGATAGAAACAAACACACACTGCATTAACATAATAAATAATCAAAGTTCATTAAAGAGAAAGATAATAAACATATAAAATCCCTCAGTTGTATGCACAGCTAAACAGAACTGTTTTAAACCTGGATCAAAAGATATGTATGTAAGTATGAGTTAGCGAAATGGCACAAGGAGCTCTGAGGACGCGAGCAATTCACATTTCATATCTTGGTATTTAGTCCTGCAAGAGAAGGCCCTAACCGTAAAAATAACTTTATTCCCAAATACATAATGAAACCTGCCCTAATCTTGAATCTTTGTTTAAATGTGTTTGGAATCAGAAATAAACCAAAAAGTAAACATTTCCCTCTGCCTGAGACAAATTACCAAATAGTCATGAAAAGAAAGGAAACTCATTGAATGAGAAAGTTTGTCTATACTGTATATACACACTTTTTTTTTTCAAACGGGAAAATGGCTAATTGTTTTTGCAGGCTGAGATATCTATCTATCTGTCTACCTGCCCACAAAACAAACACCATGTGGACATAGAGCTTTGGTGAAGTTTACACAAGATAACTTTCTTCCGTGAGAAACTTTTGCTTCATTTTAAACTCTTTATTCTTCTTCATTTTATTTTTTTCATAGATATTATTTTCTTTACTTGTATTTTATTGTCGTAGGTCGTGTGTTCGGACGCTTGTCACTGACTGAGCTGGATTTAGTCGTTCCTGCTACAGAGAATGTGATTAGATTAGGAGACTGGATGGTTAAAGAGGTTTTGACGTAGTTCGGAGAAAAACAAGACAATTATGAGAAGGACAACGCATTCCTGGTCCAGGGAGAAGTCCACATGGATTCTTCTTTTGGGTTTTTTCTGCAGGACTCAGGTCGACACAATGTAACGACCCCCTTTGATCACTGCCTTTACTTCAATCGTATGTCAGAGAGACTTTTTAAAATCCTTTTGAACAATGAGATTTGGATTTGATACAACTGGTTATGCAAGTGACATTACTGTTGGATAATCTTTGCTAATCTCATTATGATTTGCATCTTCCAGAGCATAAAGACCTGTGTTCATTCGTTAAAGTTGAGGTACCTAACTTTTTTAATTCAATAAATAATCTATGTTGTTTGTCCCGGCACAAAGAGTATAACCTGAAAGTAAAATGTCAAATCAGGCATTACTTCCATGTTATCATTTGCATCTGTCACTATTTGAGAGGTGGCCAATGGCTCCTTTATGTGTCTCATTATTCCTTCCCCTGTTTGATTCTCTAATCTGTCGTTGGCGGTTTGACAAATTTGTGAAGTACTCAGAGACAGCTACTGTTGTAGACTTCTACATGAAATTGACGTGAATTGGCAGAGTGAGACTGGTCCTTTATTTTTCACTTATCTGTCTGGAAAAGCAGATGCAAAGATGTGGCCAAAAATACATGCTTGTGAAAACTAGTGAGTGACTGTTATGTGGTTTGAAAGTTAGGTAACCCAGCTTTACTCAACTCAGCTTTGTTTTTATTTCAAATAATATAATAGACAGCATTGTTGCTCTATAGACTATGTGAGCCCCCTTTCTACCAGCCCTACTCAGAGGGACCCATCCTCTCTGCTTAACTGGTACCAGGTTCTTTGTATTACCTGTTTGGCCTTAGCTCGATGCAGTCGTAGTCGGGGCTTCGCCAGCTGTAAACTCCTGGCAATTATTATTTCCCGACGTGTATCGTCTGGGTCTGCTCCCTGTGTTTGACATTGGTAGTATCCTATCCAACCATTCAGCGAGCGCGGGATAGTTGTCGGGGATGTCAAGAGTTTGCGCCGAATTTGCTGGTTGTAGTTTGGCAATGGCGGAGAATGTGATAGTAAAGTAATCCGTTCTGGTTCGGCTCCAAATATCAAGAAATTGAAGCTGGAACAAGAGGAGTGTTTAGTAAATGTAATTGCTGCAAAGATGTTGTGGCTCTACTCCCTATGGGCGGCGTTAGTGGCAAAGGAAATGGATAAGCTAAATGCTAAATAGTGATACTATGATGGCCGAATGGTTAGAGTTGCCGGTTAGGACCTGGGGGATCAGGGTTCGATTCTTGTCTGAGGCAGTTTAGGTTGCACACCTTTTTTGGGCGACAGTAGCTCAGTTGGTAGAGCATTGGCCTTCAGGCCTGAAGGTCGTGGGTTCAATTCCCGCCTCTACACCTTCTCCACCGACTCCCACTGATGACTGCTGTCGTTGTGTCCTTGGGCAAGACACTTAACCCCACTTTGCCCAAAGCCCCCACTGAAAGATCAAGGCTATGCTCACACTCAGAGAGCAGCCGTCCTCCTGTGGACTCACCACCTGCAGAGGGTCAGTGAGGGGCTGGTGCTATGAGGGGGGTGGCATCTCTGACTGCCACCCCCCTGACCCAGAAATGGATTAAAGGGTAGAAAATGGATGGATGGATGGATGGAAATGCTAAAGCTAGGTTAAAGGCTAAAGCTAGGCTAAATGCCTCACTCACTCAGGAGCATTACATACATCACGGTAAACTCAGATCCAATTGTTTCAATCTGCAAAAGGAGCTGTGCCCTCCCACCTGGTAACAGAGCTCAATGGAGCAAATCCAGACCTTATAGTACAAAATGAAATGTGTACAATGGTGCGGTAAGACCAGGCTAATGCAGGCAGAGCTGGTACTAAAGTGTTCTAACTGACAGTGATTGGCCATGATTACTGGTTTGTTGTGGGTAGATTGCTAAGAATACAGTACTAGATACTATAGTAATGGAAACGCAACCAGGCAGAGTAGAGCCGAGTAGAGCTGGGCTGGTGGAAACTGAGAAAATGCAACAGTCCTCAATAGGTCACAGATCTGAAAAGAAGTGAACTGACAGGACACTGAGTGGATCCGGAGTGTCACGGGGTGAGCTGAGTGAGGACTCAAGCGCAGTAGTGCCAAAATAAAGCTTTTAATAAAACAAACTCCAGAAATCCAAAGTAACCAGGACAGAACATGACAAAACAAATTAAAAATGAAGCTGTCTGCTTGGGCCTTGCGTGGTTCCATCATTCTGCCACGTGGGTGAAAAACAAATGAGGCCCAAAATGCAAAACTGCAAACAATAATGGTTTAATAAAAAGTAAAAACAAATCCAAAACCACAGGGAACGAGGACAGAACTAAAACAGAGTAGGAATGACAATGATGGAACAGGGAGTGAAGGAACACACAGGGCTAAATACAAGACTAACACAGGTGAGACACATGAGGGCAGGTAATCAGACAGGAAGTAAAACCAAAGAAGACTCAGGGATTTGACAAACTACTAAAATAAAACAGGAAATAAATCTAAACCATGACACGGAGCTCACAGCCCCACATCCTGAGCATTGTAATTTACCAGTAAAGCGAGCTGTGACTTTGTTTTCACACATTTGTAATGGATGTCAGACATGTCAGACTGTAAACTTAATCAGCCGCAGCTCGAGTTAGAGCCACTACATCTAAAGAACTGTCACTGACTTATACACTTTCTGACCCACTTATGTTGTTAGTTATGTACATCTCAGACACCTTTAACTGAGAAAATCATGTATGGAATAAGGATCTTACACAAAACAGACTGCACACGGCATGAATATATAATAAAAATATGTAAAAAAGGATTTGTGAATAAAAAATGAATTATCTGATTTTTCCTATTAACTAAATGTGACCCAAATTCATCCGTTGGCGCAGTGTTTAGGACTTGTGCCTCATTGCAAGAAGGTCCTTGGTTCATTTTCATCTCCAGGCCTGTCTGTGTGGAGTTTGTATGTTCTCCTTGTGTCGGCTACGGTTTTCTCCAGGTGCTCCGGTTTCCCCCTAAAATGTTCAATAGTTCTACGTAAAGCTGGATTAGATTATAAGTGGATCTAAAACTGTTTTAGAAAGACAAAAGAAACACAAGAGAAACACACATGAAATCATAATCTCATCAAAATCACAATTGTAAATGTCTCTTTGATAGGATCAGACAAACTTGGCGGTACTGTGGCTAATCCCGGTCGGAACAGGGCCTTTCTGAGTGGAGTTTGCATGTTCTCCTTGTGTCTGCGTAGGTTTCCATGTACTATAGATCTGGCTTGCGCCTCCTGTACTGGCAACCCTGCTCTCTGTGTGGAGTGAGAGACAAATGCCCACAAACCGCTTTGAGACTCAGGTCTGGCGAAGATTACTTTTTTACTTACTTTTTGATCTCGAAGGAATGACTGGTGCTGGCTGCTCTCATTCACACAGTCACAGACACATAAGTTGCTAAAATAGAATAAAAACAGTACAAAAGAGTTTAAAATGCTGTCGTCAAACTATGATTCTAAAACCATCGTTTGACTGGACAAAATGATCACGTTCCTGAGCAGATTTCTCTGCTGCAGAAATTGTTTATTACTGGATTGTACATTGTATTTTCTGTCTTAAATGACATCTTCTTCGGCGGCACTGTGGCTGAATGGAAAGCACTCTCGCCTCTCAGCAAGAAGATCCTCGGTTTGAATTCCGGTCAGAACAGGGTCTTTCTGAGTAGAGTTTGCATGTTCTTCCCGTGCCTGTGTAGGTTTCCTCCGGGTGCTCCGGTTTCCTCTGGGGGCTCCAGTTTCCTCCGGGTGCTCCGATTTCTCCTACCACTAAAAACATGCACACTAGGTATAAGCTGAACTACGGCGACCACTGCTCCTGACGTAAGCCTTAGTGGCCTCAGGATGGGTCAATGCAGAAAAAAAATCCCTTCGGGTATTAATAAAGTTCAGCATCTTTAAAAAAGAGCATGTTTAAATAAGTATAGTATTCACAAGAGAAAAGAAATCTAGTTATTGTAGAGTCATCATACTAGTGGTGACGTGTACTACTGACTTTAAAAAAACAACCATTCAAACAGATCATTTGTCTCAACAGGGTGTTTCTCTACGATATGGTCCGACTGATAATGTTTCTTCTGCTTTGTTTGACCGCAGCAGCGGTGAGAGCTGGCAGGTTGCCAGTTCAGGATGCCTGGCTCGATGGCCACAGGGAAGAAGCTGGACCTGTCCAAGCTGACGGACGAAGAGGCCAAGCACGTGTGGGATGTGGTCCAGAGAGACTTCAACCTGCGCAAGAAAGAGGAGGACCGCCTCGGGTCAGCAACACTTTATTATACATTTTTGTTTGCTTAGGCTAAAGCTGGGGGGCCTAACTATTCTAAACATTCAATATTTATGCATGTATTTTCCCACAGAAATCTGATTTGCAGATGAGGCAATAAATATACAGTCACTCTCAGGTGAAAACTATTGAATAAAACCAAAGCAAAAGAGTTTTGAGAGCAAGGAAATATTTACATGGATTTTATTACATGGTTAAAACATTACAGGTGTCACTCACCTGTAACAACTACAACATTCGTTTAAGTAATATCATTGCTAAGATTAGAAGCATACATGGATAAGATTAGAAGCATAGAGCAACACAAACAACCATTTTTGTCTATTTTTGTGTGAGGAAAAGCATGCTTGTGTGAGCCTCAAGATTTCTGTTTTTATTTTGTTATTAGGGTATGGTTGGTTTTCTGTGCTCTGAAACACAGTATGTCTACAGATAGATGGATGGATGGAAGATGGGTATGAGATGGATACAGTAGATAGATAGATCCGTAGGTTGGGAGGTAGAAATTCATTTTCAGCGCTAATTTAAACCCTGCAAACCTCCATATAAGACCTCGTATGTAGGTTACTGTAAATGCATTCTAAATAGATTAAACAAATTGGATTTTTCATTTAGCGTGGGAAAATCTCCAGATACCTGAGCCGTGTGTGTGTTTCAGAGAGTGCTACGGTTTCTCCTGTTTTTCCACAAAACTTACATCCTCATGTGGTTCATATCAGCTGCGGTTTTCACTGAAAGGATATTTCTTGAATCGCGGCGTGTGTTTGAAATGGGTCTGTACTGATCTATGCTAAAACCTTATCCCAAGACTTGTTATCAATTTGGGGGTTTTTTGTGTGGCCCTAAATCACAGCAGCAGCAGGAGGACTTGATTCCTCCTGCTGCTGGAGTTAAGTCAGTGTTACACAACAATAGTAATGAGCGGCACACAGCACAAGATAAGTGAACATTAAGTACAAATCTATACTTTAAAAATTGAATAAAATCTCTATATTTAGCTAAATAAAGAGGCAGTGTAAAATATGTAAGGGATAATGTATAGAGGGACTGGCCTCCTGCTGGGACTCTGAGGAGCACAGGGTCTGGCCTCCTGCTGGGACTCTGAGGAGCACAGGGACTGGACTCCTGCTGGGACTCTGAGGAGCACAGGAACTGGCCTCCTGCTGGGACTCTGAGGAGCACAGGGTCTGGCCTCCTACTGGGACTCTGAGGAGCACAGGGACTGGACTTCTGCTGGGACTCTGAGCAGAATCAGAATCAATGTATTGCCATTCGCAGACAAAACTACATTGGAATACAAACAGGAAACACCGATGACACCAACACCACAGAGCACACACACAGACAGACAAAAAGACTAAAAATAGCAAGACACAGTGAGGCAAATATAAAACTCTTAAAAGCATAATGAAAAGCTGCGCAGAGCTGCAAAGAGAAGCAGATCTCAGGAGCACAGGGACTGGCCTCCTGCTGGGACTCTGAGAAGCACAGGGAGTGGCCTCTTGCTGGGACTCTGAGGCGCACAGGGACTGGCCTCTTGCTGGGACTCTGAGGAGCACAGGGACTGGCCTCCTGCTGGGACTCTGAGGAGCACAGGGACTGGCCTCCTGCTGGGACTCTGAGGAGCACAGGGACTGGCCTCCTGCTGGGACTCTGAGGAGCACAGGGACTGGCCTCCTGCTGGGACTCTGAGGAGCACAGGGACTTTTTTTAAACTTACAATTTATTGAGATTCTTCACATTCCAGCAACAAAAAACAAAACACAACTCCATGGTGTGATTTTCTTAAAAAATGTCCTAGTCATTTTGTGTGTGTGGGGGGGTCTTTTTAGTATCATTTTTTGCTTTTTTTTCCAAATACATGTAAACAATTTTGATTATTGAAAGTTGTTTGATCATGACTAAACACTATTTTGGCTTTATCATTGGACGCTGTACTGTAATTGGTATCACAAGCTACAATTGGTTTCACTGTGAAAACTTCCATATTTGAATTGATTTGGTTCTTGCAAAATCAATCTATTAATTAGGAGTTAGTGACCAGACCTGACTTTCTTCATTAGGACAATCCGCATGCTCTGGCTTCAGCAAATATTGTCTGAGTGATTGATATCAGGACGTTTATTTTATCATTAACCTGGGAGGTTCCGTTCCCTCAGACCAGGATATAGCCATTACCCTTGTCTAATCCTTCACCATATGCTCAGTTATAGGAGTCAATAGATTTGCACATTAATTTGAAAGAAGTTGTTTTTGTAGATTGTTTTTGTAGATTACATCCAAGATTACAAATGAATCAAAGACCTGTCTTGACTTTCCATTGTGTGCTGATGAGACATTGGATTGTGTGTAATTCTCAAATAGGTTATCCTCCATAGAAGTGCAGCCAAACTTTATAGTGCATGCTTTTTTGTTCTGTCAGTTCTCCTGTCTCCTGTTTTGATCCCTGCGTGGAATATAAATAGCTCAGATTGTCATGTGGCTCACTTATAAAACTGTCATGCATCAATCTTGTGGAACCTCATTAGACAATAGCGGATTTTGCTTGAGATTCGTCTCTGGGGACTCTTGGTATTCTATAAAATGTTGGTATTTTGTCCTAAACTGAGGGAAATATTCAAAAGCAGTAGCAATTTCTTTATTCAAAATTGCAATTAAAGGTTACAATCAGGTTGCATTAAGATTAGAGTTTGGATCCGTTAATTTGGTTGAGGTTGGGGATAAATCAAAGCTTGTGGTGGAACGAAATGCCAAGATCCATGACCTTCTTTGACTCTCAAGTTGAAGATGAGGCCAAGCCCTGAGTGCAATGCAGCCCATTAAAAGTCCTCATATTAAATCACCAAATAAAACATGACATTTTAATTAATGTCATGTTTGTAGATTGTTACTCTGCCAACAGCGGGGGTATTCTAGTCTGTGAGATTGTGAGTTTGTCTGAGGGAAGAAGAACTACTGGAGGTATTGAGTTGAAAATTGGTGTGTATGTGGGGTAAGCAGTCATCACATCTATCCGAGCTTTGGTTTGAATTTGTCTGAAGTTATGGAGTTCCACTGGGCATAGAGCCATTAGGCACACCTGATTATAAAGCACACTATCAAATTATGCATTCATTTTTATACATAAGATGCATTAGGATTATAAGATGCACTTTTATACGTGTCTAATTGTGCGAAAAATACGGTACTACTTTAAAGGTTCGCGGGCAAACTTTGGACCACACTGGGACATATTGCAGATATCATATTTTGAGCTTTTTGAACAATAATAACTAATAATGGTCTGCTGACGGTTTGTCCCACCTGCAGGAGACCAGGGGATGACCCAGGAGTAAGTTATAATAATAATAATAATAATGTATTTTATTTTTAGCACACTTTTCATATGCAAACACATTTCAAAGTGCAGCAGGTTAAAAACACAATCAAAACATCAATTCACAAAAAAAAGGCAAGTGGTACACAAGTATGAGTGGAAGTGTGGGTATCTCTGCTTAGACTATTGCCCCTGCGACTTGGCAACAGACAAAGCGGAAGAAAAAGGGCGGATGGAAACGTCATCTGTTCTGAGAGGATCTTGTAATTCCTCGAATGTGGCTGTGTTTCGGCTGACGCTGCATAAAGGGGAAAACGTGTGCGAACAATACGGAGATTTTAAATGGACTAAATATTCAGTAATGTGCCACGGCTGTAGGTTCTCACTAAATAAACTGAACCATCCATTGTGGCTCCTTCCAATATCTTAAGACCAGTGCCCTTTAAAAATGCTCAGTTCCTACATTCTCTCCGTCACACAGACTGTAAACAAAGAGCAGAGAGGACAATGTGATTTATTGAAGCGTTCTGAGGCTTGTGTCTATGTTTGGGAGAAGTCTGTGTCTGTGAGAACCTGCAGACCAAATGTGGATTCCTCTGCTCCGTCTGCCGCAATATTCAAGCAAGATGGAGAAGCCTTTTGTGACGGTTTTTTTAATGCATCTTTTATATCAAATCAAATACGTTATTAAGAATTGCATCTAAAGATATCTTATGATCCACTTCAAACAGGGACTGAAGTAAACCAGTCCTTTTAAAAAATAACTGAAATAAAATAATGAACTGTGAAACTCATGTGTCAAGTCGGAATGTCCATCCATTTAATAATGCATTTGTAGAAAAATTATAAATAAATTGGGAGCGACAGTGGCTAAGGTGGTAGAGCATTGGCCTTTGAGCCTGAAGGTCGTGGGTTCGAGCCCACCATAAGACCTACTTCACGACTCCCACTGATGACTGCTGTCGTTGTGTCCTTAGGCAAGACACTTAACCCCACTTTGCCTGAAGCCCCCGCTGGAAGATCTCAGCTCCTGTGGACTCACAACCTGCAGGAGGATCAGTGAGGGGCTGGTGCTCTGTGAACTGGGTACAGCTCTGACTGACACCCCCCCGACTCAGAAATGGATTAAGGGGAAGAAAATGGATGGATGGAGAAAAATGCTAACAGAAAATTAGACGACTGTACTTAAATCCTTAAAGGCGCTATACCCGTTTCTGCAATGTTTGAATGTTTAGCACCGCCCCCCAACTCGCTCACAGGCTTCTCATTTCCCCTACGCTCTCATAACACGGAGCCATCTAGTTTTATTTGCGATCTGATACATATGCTAACATTAGCATTAGCGCAACTTCTTGTAAACTGTGCAACAATCACTGATGAAATGGCACTAAAGCAACGCACTGCTAACACAATACATAAGTAAAAGAATACCGCTAGTTTCGCGTCCGAATGTATTAATTTAAAACCTTAGAATATATTCTAATATTTAATTATAATGTGTTATAGAGCTCCTCAAAACAGCAGCAGCAATTCTTCCGATAATTTTTTCTTGATAACAGAACTCTCAAACCAATAATGACCGAAGCCCCAATGCAATCTCTGTTTGTAATTCAGGTGTGTAAAATACTGCCATTACTCTGCAAGTACAACAAGCTATC